AAATTCAAAAACAAAAAACAAAACATAAACTTTATTGGACATTATTTACCACTTGCACTTTTCAATAGTCCCTTAAGCAGTTACATGGAATGCTTTGTGACAGAGGGTTGAGAACGTTATATTAAAACGATCTTGAATGTGCAAATCAGCAAAGTACGTGATAATCACAACCAATATAAAGTTGCAGTGGAACAGAATGTAACACAACTATATTTTAACATTGTTTGCCATTTTTGTAGGTAGTGTGACGTCAACCACAATTGGTCCCTTTTGGGGAAATGTAAGTAACAGCCCTTTTCGACACAAAATATTCATACGCTTAGATCATAAAAGCATGTGTCAATCGATATCCCTTGTACTTAATGTAATTGGAAAACAATGAATATGGATCAACTTGAGGCACCAGCACCATCCAGAAAAAGATCTGCAACAAGTATCCTAGCCATGAAAAGCAAAATGCGGCGTCTTCTAATAGGTAACAAAAGTCTCTGCCTTAAGGCTGGAATGTCCAAAGCAAACCACCCCACTCTGTTTATTTCCATAATCCATCTAGTGTACGAGGATGGCGTTTTCCGGGCGCCTGTTTTTAACAATCGATCATATAGAAATCCGTAGGCACTGCGTCCGGCGAATTAACTTATATGTTATCGTATCTAATAGCATTAATACTCGTTTCATTTTCATGAAGCTTGATGTATGCAACGGTTAAACGGATATTTTGTGGAAACAACTTGTGTACAAGTGACTTGTACCGCTTTTCTAGACGAAAATCCTTCTTCATTATGTTACCTGTGGAACGAGGACGGCTTTTGCCACTGACTTTTGTGTTCGTGAGCTCTCATGATACCCAAATCGTTTTAATATAACATACTCAATAACTGTATTACTAACTATAACCTTTATTATTCACCTGTTTGAAGAGCCTCTCGAAACACAAACTATAGAGGTTGTGATCATAATCTTTGAGAGATAGAACTTGATAACTTACCTGTTTCTAGAATCTCCTGATCAGCTACAGTATATACTTTGTAATGGGGCCCTATATACTGACCATATGCTTCGGGAGAGTAGAAAATCTGATTTTTCCACATGTTCAAATCCAAAATCATGACGAACATGATTATTCCATAGTTGAACCATTTTCCTGGGTGTATGAATACAGGTATTAGATGTAGAAAATAGTTCAAATCCAAAATCATGACGAACATGATTATTCCATAGTTGAACCATTTTCCTGGGTGTATGAATACAGGTATTAGATGTAGAAAATAGTTCAAATCCAAAAATCATGACGAACATGATTATTCCATAGTTGAACCATTTTCCTGGGTGTATGAATACAGGTATTAGATGTAGAAAATAGTTCAAGTAAAATTTAGAAACAAAACGACCTTTATTCTCCAGATAATAATAACTCACTTTATTGTCAAAACGTCCAAATTCCCCCTAGTATGCCCTAAGAAATTTTTAAAAACAGTTCAAATGTAACTTTTTCAAGTTAATTTCTTTCAGGGCAATATTTAAAAGAGATAATTACAGAGTCAAAAAAAAAAAGACAGTGTTTAAGTTCCACAATTAATAACGCAATTATAAAAGTGATTACAATGGAGAAAGAAACCAAGTTTAGATGAGTTTGTGATGACTAAAAAAATCGAAAATCAAAAACCACAATTAAAGAAATCTCATGATTCAAACAGTTAGTTAATGCCATGGGTGTTAAGTCATTCCTTCCGATTACAATAATTAGAATATCCATATTGATTTAAATTATTAATTATTAACGAAATGGAACGGCTTGTTTAATATCCTATTGAAATGACTGACTTATGATACGAGGGTCACTGGCTGTTTTAAGTACTGACCCCAAACAAACCCTCAATCATGGGATAGAACCTCAAGTAAGATCATGTAAGTTTATAAAATATCAAGTTAGTAAAACAATATATTGTTTGATTTCAGTTTAAAACAACAGTATTTCTTTAATCATTTATTGTTGTTGACAGTCCAGAAGAATTTATGAAAATGCATTGGAATTACAAATAGATGTACAAACCTGTAATGTGAAAGACTACATCTGGAATACTGACGTACTTCTGAAACATCCTGTACTTAAAAGAAACTACGTGCATACCAGGAAGCTTTATGTCCAAATCACAGACAAAATGTGGAAAGTCCCAGTCCTGCAAGTAAAGATACATCTATATAAGTTGTATTACTCTAACATTAGACAATTTTTATGTCCAAATCACAGACAAAATGTGGAAAGTCCCAGTCCTGCAAATATAGATATATCTATATAAGTTGTATTACACTAGCATTAGACAATTGTTATGTCTAAATCACAGACAAAATGTGGAAAGTCGTGCAAAGAAACGTTCGAAGCTATATTAATTACATTAGACAAATCTTGTGTCTTTATCATAGGTTCAATGTGGAGGTTCCAGGTCCTGCAAGAAAGACTCTATTTGATGGGTTGTTTGGTTTATTTCAAGGAAAGTTAACATTAAGATCTAAATAGGAAGAAAGATCTAGTCAATCTGTGAATCAGTGTTAATGAAATATGTATAAAGATATACTTCATGTAAGAAAATAAATATTATAGAAAACGTGTAGATTTGAACTGTTCGCGAAGCTAGAAAAGACTTTTCTAAATTATAAGAAAAATAACTTTAAGATATATCTTACTTGGTTGTAGACTTACCGCTGTCCCACCAGGGGGGGGGTATATATATCATATTATCAAGATGATTCATTATGTGTATATGTCTGTTAGCACTGACTACCCAGACTTGACCTACTCGTAATATTTTGTATGATAAGTAAATACTGTCCGACGGTATATATATGGGTTATCTTGTTTTGGAGTTTTGGCCGAGAATAGGATTTTTTTTTAAAAAGTCCATAAAATAGGGCACATTGCCACTTTTTTTAATATAATTTTGGCTTGCATCGTCTATAGTTGTCTGGCTCGATTACCACAGTCCAACGGGTTGCCCGGAATACTTTGTTTTAGGGTTCTTACCCGAGAAGAAGTATAAAAAACAGCCCCTTAAATGGAGCACATTTCCAATTTTTTTTTGTACTGACTTTTGGTTTTGGATCTAAAGACACGAGTATTTAATCAGTTAGATGAGCCAATTATTACCTTCCACAAAGCAAGATATGCAATTAACATCTAATGAAGTCATTAGATGTTAATAACATAAGATGGAAAGAAGGGGGATCATTATCTAACATTGTCTTTTATACAATTCTTGCTTTCTTAGAGGGAAACCTCGAAATAAAAACAGAAGCAAAGCTGTAGATTACAGAGTTTACGATGTCTTGTTCAGAACTGTCATAACACAACGGAAGACTCACCTGCATCACAATCAAAAGATCCATAACCAGTATAAAGGAAGCCAAGAACGCTCGCGACAGCTCAGTGGTAGCCACAAAATCCCTGTTTAGACGATCCCAAGTGATCCCATCACTGACTATTAAGGTCACAACTAGCGCCGTCATGATAGAAGAACCAGCCCAGAAGATGAAGATACGAACCCGGCCATGGGACTTCCAGAATCTTCTGGCTGTTTTGGCCCAATCAACGTAGAGGTTATCTTGAAGCATCATATCCGTAACCTGTTAGTGATACCACAGTGTTGTATAGAACATAAACACTTATGAAAGACGTTATAATGCGAGGTGAAATATTGTATGCTTTAAAAAAAAACGTTTTACTTTGTTGTTATTCACAAATAAAACTCTCTATCACCAGGATTTAACACAAATCTACGATAAATATCAGACAACAAACAGCCTACGTAAATAAAGTTTGTGAGCGCTGAAAAATACCATGTTAAGTAGTTCATTTGTAATGTTTTAACGAATAGAAAAAAAACGTTGATTTTACGTTTTATTGACTGTTTTCTTATACATATATATATATCTTTCTCTAGCTATTTTTCCCGTATTTTCGAAGTAAAATTACATCTAGTTTTCAAAACGTAATGAAAAACTTTTTATTGGTTTGTTTAAGCGCGAAGCTACACTATGTGCTGTATCGAACCCTGGATGTTAGCATTTAAAGCACCCAAGTTAGCCATTGATCTACTGGAAAGATATCATGCTGGTTAAAAACTTTTTAAGCTAACTTTTTTTGTGCATAAACAGAAAAAAAAATCACATTTTTAGCGTTCGTTTTTCTAGATAGTTCTTAACATTAATATTTCAAGAAAAACATAATTTTTATCTTTTCCTTATAGTTCAGTAAAAAAAAGCGGGAAATCAAAGTTGAGCTTTCTCACACTAGATGTCTCTGTGCTAACACCTCAGGTAGGATAAAAGCCCCTAATAAAAAAATAATAATCTAAGATGCGCCTACCAAACGCTTTAGTTCCTAAACTTTTACATTCACCCTGGCAATAAATTGAATAACACTGTCATAAGCAGCTGTACTTGTGTCAAAACTGTTTACACGCTTAGATATATGATCGGTAAAAAGCAACTTACGAGTCCGTAGTTTATTTAAATGTCACACCAAACTTTGGCTCTTCAGTTAAGCAGCCCTTACAAGTGAACGTTTTAAAGGCTCCAAAAACTTTTAGTGAATAGGTAATAAAAGTTAGAACTTAAAAGAGCACCGAATTAAAAAATTGACACACAATAAAGATTGATTCAAGTGAAGTGCCACTTCAGTTGATGATGGTTAGGATGTACGTGGATGGTCTTATTTCTATAACAACGTGTGATTACAATGCAGGAAGTCTGTTGTTTTTTTACGAGTTTAGACGCTTTGTTGTGACGACTCACGTTCATTCTATACAGGTCGTTGAAATTCGAGATTCAACCACTACAGCTAGCAGACAAAACGCAGCTAACCCATGGTTTAACAAACAAACCAGTTTTCCAATTGTGAGATAACGTCAGCTTTTATTGTGTTAATATTAGCATAGTTGTGATTTAATTGTCTCTGTTTACCTTGTGTACATAATAAAAGATCGAACAGATTTGATTAATCTATTGATGACGTAGCTGTCGTCTGGTTATAATGGAAAAGTAAATTGGATCTCGCTACCCGTCTACACATGATCTACTTAGCCAACTCAGTATCTACACATGATCTACTTAGCCAGCTCAGTATCTACACATGATCTACTTAGCCAGCTCAGTATCTACACATGATCTATTTAGCCAGCTCAGTATCTACACATGATCTACTTAGCCAACTCAGTATCTACACATGATCTACTTAGCCAGCTCAGTATCTACACATGATCTATTTAGCCAACTCAGTATCTACACATGATCTATTTAGCCAACTCACTATCTACACATGATCTATTTAGCCAACTCACTATCTACACATGATCTACTTAGCCAACTCAGTATCTACACATGATCTACTTAGCTCAGTCAGTATCTACACATGATCTACTTAGCCAGCTCAGTATCTACACATGATCTACTTAGCCAACTCACTAGCTACACATGATCTATTTAGCCAACTCTCTATCTACACATGATCTACTTAGTCAGCTCAGTATCTACCTGAGTCAACCTATGTCCTGCTTACATCTTCGTCTAATTCCCTATTTATTCCCTTAACCAACTAAATAAAATACTTTGGATTATTTATAACATAAATTAAAAATAGTAGGGGAATAATTAGTAAGTTATTAGGCGATCACATTAAGCTCCACCTGTATTGAGGATATTGAGTCATTCCAGAAAAATTTGGATAGCTGGAAAATTACCAAATTAATTATAGTATGTGCTGGGTTATCATAATTTGGATCACAAATTTAATACAGATGGGAACTCACTCAATAGCATGACTGAAAAAGAACTGTTTTAGTATAGTAGTGGATAAGTAGTGCTCAGTTACTTGTTATTAAGCTAATAGATCTTCTGGGTGTACTTATAGACGTGTTGATTACAAGTCAAAAAAGAGATAATTTTCTCTACATAAATCACTAGATGTCTCGCATTTCTTTGCGCTGTATTTTGAAGACGATAGGATACAAGTTTAAGACTGGAGAAAGAAATGAACTAGGCTCCAATTAAAGCAGTTTAATTTTTCTAACAGTGTGATTGACTTATGGAACGAGTTGACATTCGCACTAGTAGAGGGCAGCACTTTACATCGATGATTTCCTGAAACTGTGGGTTCAAAGACTTACCTTTGTTAAGTGTGGGTGTACAAGGACAGCCTTGAAGGACAAAATGGTCATTTGTTGTCCAAATCATGAAGGACAAAATGGTCATTCGTTGTCCAAATCATGAATGACCAAAGGGTCATTCGTTGTCCAGATCATGAATGACCTAATGCCCTTTCTTTGTCAAGATCATTAACGACCTAATGGCCTTTCGTTGTCCAGATCATGAACGACCTAATGCTCATTCGTTGCCCAGATCATGAACGACCAAATGCTCATTCGTTGTCCAAATCATGAACGACCAAATGGTTATTTGTTGTCCAAATCGTGAATGACCAAAGGGTCATTCGTTGTCCAGATCATGAACGACCTAATGCTCATTCGTTGCCCAGATCATGAACGACCAAAGGATCATTCGTTGTCCAGATCATGAACGACCTAATGCTCATTCGTTGCCCAGATCATGAACGACCAAAGGATCAT